TTCTGCAGTGGCTGCTGTATAATTTTGATAGCCAATCGAAGTCGTTTGATCTTGGTGGCGGGAGATTGTTGGTGGTAGATGAGAGTGATGTGGAGTTGATTTTGAGGTTTCCGTGTGGTCGTATTGACATGGTTCAGCGGGATAGACGTAAGATCAGCAACACTTTGAAACACTGGAGGGGGTTATTTAAGAAGTCCAGGTACAGGGTTACCCCTTCGGAGATTAGTGTTAGGATGGTTGGTGCGGTAAATAGTGGCGTTTGGTTTAAGCGCCATTTTCTTATGTTGGTGCTCTTCACATGGGTTTCTTGTATGTGTAGCGGCTATGCAAACCAGATGTTTTGGCATCATTTTGACGATGTGTCTAGCGTGCGTGACTTAAATTGGTGCAAGCTGGTGGTCGACACGTTGGTTGAGACGCAGTCTGCCTGGCGTTCGGGTCGGCATAAGTTCTGTATTGGGCCGGCTGAGTTTGTTACGGTATTCTTGGTGTAATTTTTTTGTTTGGTGATTTCTGTTTTGTTCTTTCCCACTAGGTCACTACAATTAATTTTGTCATTATTTTTGGTTCTTTTTTCAGTTGTTTTATGTGGATCGTGTTGTGCATGGTGCGCGCTCTGTCCCCCGGTGTATTCCTGGTCTGCGTGGGTGGTATTCACGTCTACTTCATGAACGGGAATTTTCTGAGATTCGAGGTGGCGGGTTTAGCCTTGGTATGATTGAGCCCCTCATGAGGGTTGTCACGGGGTGGACGAAGGTGTTCATCCGTCTTCAGATGTAGTTGATTATGGGCCAAAGGTATGGGTTTTGTTGGTAGGCATTCATTTGTGGTTGGTTATGTTCTAGGGGTGCACACGGGCAAGTGGTGTTTGTGTGTGTCTTTATGGGTGGGTTTTATTTAATGTGTCATTCTCTTTTGTTGGGTTAGACATTCGCAGATGTTGTGTTAGAAAGATCAAGGTTGTTTTCAAGAGAAATTTTAGAGTTGGCAAAGCAGGGTCCCGTTGGTGCTTTTGATGGCGAGGTGCTTCGACAGGTGTTTGAGGTTGTAAAGGCTGTTGGAGAGGTGCGTTCTGATGAGCAGCCCGTTGATTTTAATGATATTCCATCCTTTAGTCTAGGTAATACGCAAGATTTTCCTGATCGTGGGGGGGGGGGGGGGCTGATATTGGGGATGTGGTTCGTGGTTTGACTCCGGCCAATACTGGTCGTCCTTTTTCTGGTGTTGAGGTCAGTTTTGTTGGGTTACTTGTGTGCGTTCACATTGTTTCTGGTTTTTTTGGGTTATAACTCATTACTTTTTTTCACTCTATTCCTTTTTGCTAGGGTGGTCCGATCCAAGAGCATGGTGATGATTGCATGGGTGGTGCTTTAGGTGCTCCGTGTACTGCTGTGGCTCTTCCTAATGGGGGTCAGGATTGCGCGGGTTCGGGGGGTTGTGGCCCGCAGTATGTGGAGGGACATATGCATGGTGATGGCGATTCCATTGTGTGTGATATTGGGTCTGAGGGTCCTTGCCCGGGGCGTTCGTAGTTTCCTGCGCATGTTGTTGCGCCGTTATCTATGCCGATTGAGCCTGGTTTGGTATGTTTGTGTATAGAGGAATGGGATTTGATGTGGTATTAAAGGATGGATTTGATGTGTGCATTTTTTTCATTGGTTTTTTTTTCCATAATTCGGGTGCTTTGTTATTTTTTTTTATAGTAGGTGTGCTGGGATTTATGCGTGGGTGGTTTTATTAAGTGGCAATTGTATGTTCATTTAAAGAGTTGGGTAGTTGTGTGGTTTGTTATTTAGTAATGTTTTTTATGTGTGCTTGGATATGTATAAATGGATGCACTTGCAGGAATTTTTGTGTGCTCCGTTTAAGTAGGTGGCATTTTGTAGTTTGAATTCTAGACTTGGGTGTTGGTGTTGTCACTTCTCATGGTTAGCTATCTACTCATAGTTTGGTGTGATGGAATTGGTTCGTTGTGTGTGTGTGGATGTGTATAAATGGTTGCACTTGCTAGAACTTATGGGTGCGTAGTTTAGGTAAGTGGCATTTTGTAATTTAAATTCAGGACTTGGTTGTTGATGCTCACACTTGTTTCTGTGCAGCCATCTATTCGTGGGGGTGAGCCTAGCCGGTGTCAGTCTGACGGACGTATTTGTCAAGCCCCTTTCAAACGGCCTAGGGGTGTTACTATCCCGCCGGATGCTTTGCCTTTGCAGTTGTCGCATCTGGATCTCGGGTTGCCACCTTTAGACAATCCAGAGGACTCGGTTATTTGCAACTGGTTGTTGTGTGCAGCTGAGGGGGACATGTTAGTTTCGGGAACCATTTATTAATAGACATATTGTGTTGGTTATGTGTGTTTGATTGGTGTTTTTTTTTTTTTTTTTTTTTTTTTTTTTTTTTCTTTTTTACTTTTGTGTAGGGAGGAGATTTTGGTTGATGTGGGTGGTAGTGTGGCGCGGTGAGCGGATTTGATGTCTTTGGCTCCCGGGTCTTTGGTTGAGGTTGGTGTTGTAGACGCATGGGCGTGTCTGTTAAATCGTCGGGAGCGGTATAAGGAACCGAATGCCCCTTCTCGTTTTTTTGCCTCCACTCTTTCCACGGTTGGTAATTTCATCTTTTTGTGGCATGGTAGTTTGACACGTTTAGTTTTTTTTTTTGTTGTGCTAATTTTACTCCTTTTGAAGCTTCATACTGTCGTGGATACCTCCCTTGATCGGGATAAGCGGTTTGCGTTGTTCAAGGATAGGCTGAATATCGTTACATTTCTGAAGTTGATTTGGTATGAATTCTTCTGTTTTACATGGCTTCTAGACTACCTGTCCATCATATTTTGTGTGCATAGGGACTGAGTTTTGTGTGCACGCAGGTTGTGCTAGTTTGTTTGCTTGTAGTCATTTTGGTTTTAAGGTGGTGCGTCGGTGTTTTTTTGCAGTTTATGTTCCCCATTCTGCGTCAGAAACATTACTTCCTTATATGCGTTGATTTTTGAAAATTCCGGTGTGAGATAATTGACAATTCGACTCTTCAGCCTAATACGAAGCTGAAATATGGGGATTGCCCAGAGGATTTGGTATGTTATATATTTCGCACAGTCTGGTACTTTTTTACCTCTTTGCGCTTTTCGATTTTTGATGTCTGCAATCTGTGGGTGTCTTATAGTTGGGCATGCTAATGGAATTATTTACCACTATTCATCCGGGGAGGTCTACGATGTGTGCGTGTTTGGAGCCAAAGCGTATGCAGATGAGTTGGCGTGATGGCAAGAATACGGTTGACTAAGGGGTCTATGTCATGCGTCATATGGAGTCTTACATGGGGCAGGGAGTGGCCAGATGGAGGTGTGGGCTTAGCAAAGGTAACGGTGCTCAGCTCAAGAAGTTAAGATTACGCTACATGAAGGAAATCGCAACATCAAAGTTCAATTTACTAAAGTCTAGGAATGTTGTTCGGGCGTATAAGTTTGTGTCATTCATCCCGTAGGTCCGGGGTGGGGTTTGTGTCTTTGGTTTAATTGATATTAGTTCGTAGTTTTTGCCGTGGTATGCGTACCTTTTTGGGGTTTTTATGTAGCTACCATTGTTACTGTGTATGGGGGATTAAGCATGTATTTAGTTTGTTGGGTTCTCATTCTTTTTGCTAAGTAAGGGCTGCACCTCATGGGTTTTCTTTTGACGTTTGTTTATTCGCAGTTGGTTGTTTGTTTATTAGTGTCAAAATTATGTTATTAATTGCTTCTTGTTTAATTAAATTTTGGTATCTCATTTGCTGTTGGGTTGCGGCGCTGTGTGTGTTTGGATGCACAGTGTTTTAACTTGGGGTGCATAGGTTAATGAATTATGCATGGTTCTCTATTCATCTAAATTACACAGAAGGCAGTAGGTCTATATTATCTAATGTGCGTGTACAACTATTTAATTATCAAGTCATGGATAAAAAAATGGGATAAAATTAAACTCAACCGTTTAGTTTACTATTAGCTTATAGGGTATATTAATTAAAAACACGTGTGCGCAATGGCGGTTCTAAGTGGGCATGTCTGTTCGTAATACATTGGGTTTCGTGGGTAAAGTTAAAAACAGTCCATTTAAATTTAATTGTATACGGTTATTGTTAAATATGTGGGTGCACCTTGGCGTTAATTAGTGTGGGTTCGCAATGGATTACATGTCAAAAATGTGTTGTGAGTTTAATAAATTTCTCGGTAATGAGTGTTTTGCTGTTTACTTACAGGCTTACTAATAGAACTGGTGGGTGCACGGTGGTGGGAGACCGGGTGCATACTAGTTGACTAGTAGCGTGTACGCTTAGTGCACAACTATTTAATTTTAAAGCCATGTGTGAAAATGGTATGAAATTAAACTCACCTAAGTAGTTTACTATTAGCTAGTAGGGTTTACTAATTAAAAACACGTGTGCGCAGTGGCGGTTCTAAGTTGGCATGTCTATTCGTAATACATTGGGTTTCGTGGGTAAAGTTAAAAACAGTCCATTTAAATTTAATTGTATACGGTTATTGTTAAATATGTGGGTGCACCTTGGCGTTAATTAGTGTGCGTTCGAAATGGGTTACATGTCAAAAATGTGTTGTGTGTTTAATAAAGTTATCCGTAGTGAGTGTTTTGCTGTTAACTTATAGGCTTACTAATAGAACTGGTGGGTGCATAGTGGTGGGAGACTGGGTGCGTAGTGGAACAAATTATCTAGTTGACTAGTAGTGTGTAGGCTTAGTGCACAACTATTTAATTTTAAAGCCGTGTGTGAAAAATGGTATGAAATTAAACTGTGTACACGTTGATGGTACACAGTATGCATAGTTGAGCGAATTTAGTAGTTGACTATTACACTGTAGGCTTAAAAATAAAAACTGTGTGCACATTGATGGTGGTCAGTATGCATAGCTGAACAAACGAACTAGTGATGGATAAAATTCTAAAATTTGACAAGTATCTAATTCAACTTTAAATTGTGCTAGAATTCGTAGTATTTTAAACCACGGAAGGCTACTCGTCAGATATGTCTTTTCTTTCTGGACAATTCCGGTTGTCGTGGCCCGGTTGGTCGCAAGTAGCACATGTCCTCACCTTTTTCTTCGTTCTTTCCATTTCTTTCTCTTTATTGCTCTTTAATCGTTTCCCGCTGCCCTTGTTTTTGGCAACATTGGGTGGCTTTATTTGGATCTCGGTAGGTGCAGTAGCGTTGACTATTGATTCAATCACTGATTGGTGGTTGGTGCTTTGGTTGGCTTGTTGCTTAGCACTCTTTAACTTCCCGTTTAGTTGCTGCATTGTTGTCAACATTAGAGCCATTTCATTTTCACTTCCATTAGCCAATCCTAAGAAGTTGTAGAATTCATTTCAGAGTTGGTTCGCAATTGATTTGAGTTCGTTCTCCCCTTGCGTATTAGGGCTGCCTTTCAACACAATATCATACATTGGCCGTGCACATGCGTCTCTTGTCCACCGGGGAACAATATAGTGTCCTGGTATTTCTTCGATGCCTTCGTCCTTGAAAATTGCCAGCACATGCTTGCATAAGATTCCTACTCTGTTGAATTTGTTGCAACTGCATTCTGTTTTGTGGGGAGATTCTTGGTGTGTTACCTCGTACAGTTTTGCACCTGTTTCGTGTACAACGTACCTCCGGTTTCCGTCCTCAAGTGTCTTGTTGGTGATTTTGCATGTGAAACTTCCGGCCCATATTTCTTTTTGGAACTCGTAGAATATGTTGATGGTGTACAGTGTCGCTGCTTGGCGTTCCATGCCCAACGGGGTTTTCGGTTCAGGGGTTGAACCTTCACAATCTGCGTTCAACTTTGCATGGTTATGCCTCTGTTCTTCTATGGCGCGATTGTATTGCATTATAAACTCGACTAGGCTGCAGTGGTGATTTGTGAATTTGCCGAAATAACTGTTCTCCGATTCTGAACGTGATGTTGTTTTTAGTAGTCCTCCCATGAGTATATCTTGGAAATATGCAGGTATCCACGATGCATGTGCCTCGTACAATTGGTTAAACCACCTGTGCTCAACAAGGTTGTAATCTTGCATTACCTTTGCCCATTTGAATTCAAATTCGGTGGCACTTAAGGTTTCATCCCATACTGCATTGTTTAGGGCCTTTTTAAACTCGACGTTCTTTGCCAGTGCAGGTCCTGCCTTGTCCCCGACTTTTGACGTGATGTGCCACATACAGAACCGGTGTCTCGTTTCTGGCATAATGTTGGGTATTGCGACCTTTAGTGCTGGATCTTGATCTGTAATAGTACATCTTGGTGTATACCCCATTGCGGTTTTGAAGCTTTTTAATAACCACTCATACGACTCCACATCTTCTCTTGCAATGAGGCCCGCCCCAAATGTGATGCTTCGTTTATGGTTGTCCACTCCTGTGAACGGTACAAATACAAGCTTGTATCTGCATGGTTTATATTGTTTCTCAGTTAGTGCACAGACATATAATAGTAAGACTGGCCTCATTTTTTTTTTGGCTGCCCGACGTGTAGATTCTATTGCAAAACTGCATGCATGATGTCTTGCACTCACGAATACACAGGGGTGCACACACCACATCACAGTGTAATTAACCATTTATTCGATCGCTGCAATGACCAGGGCTGGTGATTGGATCTCATGGTTTATATTGTGCATACAATGTTTAGCAATTGTGCACGCATGTGTATTTGAGTACTAAAACGTGCTGGATAACAATTTCATTAAATTAAACTACTTTAATTGGAGTCATATGTACCTGTTCGTGCTGTACGTAGCGTCGAATGACATCACGTCGCCAAAACATGCAAAATTCTTTCGTGATATTGCGTCAGCCCAAAACAATCTGCATAGTTGTCTATCTTCGTTTAGATCAAAATCGAAGTAGAAGTCTGGGTTGGCCTCTTTATTTTTGTACATGTCTTCTACCACCATTTGTGCATCTGCTCCAGCAATATACGCCAACAAATCCCTTCTGAAGTTGCAGAAATCCGTGGATGTTACCCCTATATCAATAAAACTTGCCACCATTTCTTTGTATAGTCTCCAAGATTTGGTAGAACCAATGTTTGCCCTTGCACAGTTTGATAGGAATATTTTGTGTCCAATATCCAGCTTCCTATTTATTTTCAAGAAGGGTCTCCCATTGTCTGAGCATAGGCAGTGTGTGTGCCACAACTCCACTGCATGGACCGTATAATTGCCGGTCTTACACCTTGTTATCACAATTCGGGCCTTACAACCAACTCTTTTTGACACCGGCTTTCTTTTCTTTGGATGTGTGGGGTTTACCATATTGTTGACTATGTTACTACCCTTCTTGGGGGGCTTGAATCATTCCCGTGAGCATAACATGTATTTTATGTGAACTTTCCCTTCCCTATTCATGCGCATCGTTCCTTTTCTGATATCAAAACCGACAGTAATTGCGTATTCCCGGTAGAAGGCTAGTCCGTCTTCTAGTGTTGCAAACTGTTGCCCTTCATACGGGGTGCATTCACTTTTGCAGGTGGGTAACCACCGTTTCATTCCATCGGGTAATATGATCATTTCGCAATCTGTTGCTTCTTCTTCAGTATGCTCTTTGCCTATTAATCAAAGGTGTGTTCCGTAAATATTAGTAGCATTTTTTGGCACTGGTAGCGTTATTAGAATTGCGTATAATATAAACGATAGAATCTGTGGGTGCATGCATGTTCAAACTATGGTACGGTGTGTGCATTTGAGACTAATAACGGGTGCACTCTATGAACACAAAGCTATAGCCCCTTCCATCACCCCCCTGTAATCAGTCCATGATTTCTAGTACATTCAGGGTTAAATTATTGATGCAATTCCATCACATCTACTATGAGTACATACAGGGTTAAATTATTTACTACTTGTGACTCCCAAGTTTTATTACAGTGCATCCAACTGTTGTTTTCACTGACGAATCGATATGTACAGTAATAGGGGTTCAACTATATGGTGTACTTACTAGGGGTGTTCATTCGGTTAACCGTTCGGTTAACCGAACCGTTTTAACCGAACCGAATTAACCGAAATTTTTTTTGCCTTAACCATTAACCGAACCGAAATGCGCTCTACCGAATTAACCGAACCGAACTTTTTTTCGGTTAATCGGTCGGTTAACCGATTAACCGAAATTTTTAACCCTAAAATTGAAAATCCTAAAAATAACTCCTAAAATAATAAATTCAATTAAAATAAAATACATATCATAATAAATTCATATCAAAACATACAAAAATAATACCATAAGTCCATAATCCATTTGACTATTTGGAATTTTAGTACATATTATATATTTATATTTAATATTTAATATATTATATACATACATACATATATATATATATATATATATATATATATATATATTCCAAAATCGGTTAACCGTTCGGTTAATTCGGTCAACCGACACTTTCGAACCGAATTAACCGTTAACCGAATTTTGGGAAAACCTTTAACCATTCTCCGAACCGAAATATTTCGGTTAAAAAACGGTTAACCGAATTATGTCGGTTCGGTCGGTTAACCGAAATTTCTCCGAAATTTGCACACCCCTAGTACTTACTTGGAATGGTGTCATCCATGGAGTCCAAGTTGGCATCATAATTTCGTAGGTCTTCGTCGGCCATGGTGTCTCCTCGCGTGTCCATGGAGTCTGTTTCTCACGTCAATGGGTGCACGGGGGATCGGTTCCGGTTGGGTGGTGTGTTTGTCGGTGCGGATTGACTATTGCATTCCTCGTGGTATTTGAATTCCTTAATTATAGGGTGGCATACGGTTTAGAAGTCGTTTCAGATTAGGAGGTGTGTGTGCATTGTCACTATTACCCTTATTAATAATAATTAGTAGTCTGCGTCTCCCATCATAGGCTACATCTCATCCATTCATCTTATCGCATCCTATGGCTAGTTCTTGTCCACACATTTGTATTTTAAGGGTGTTTGCATTAGAATGGCTCCCAATATATATATATATATATATATATATATATATATATATATATATATATATATATATATATATATATATATATATATGTGTGTGTGTGTGTGTGTGTGTGTGTGTGTGTGTGTATTCAAATGAGGACAAGTATATTACAGAGGACTGTGAGGACAGATGTAGTGTGTGCCATTAGTCGGTACGTCGTGTGCATGGCCGAATGTAGTCCTGTGCCCCAGTTTGTATGTCGCGCTCTAGATTTGTTAATTTATAGAGCGGTAGTTCGAAACCTGATGTTTACATTTATTCTTGTGTGTCATTATGTATTAAGTTGTGTGCCTAGTATTAATTTGTGATTTGCCCATTATTTGTCCTCACATTCCTCTATATATTGTTGTCCTTATTTGAACTCATAATATTCCGTGTAATGTTAATTAATTTTTTCTTATATATATATATATATATTTTGTGTGTGTGTGTGTGTGCGCGTTATAGTACCATATAAAGAATACACGTTAATTAAAAAAAAGGTAACCTTTAATACCAAATTCATTAATTACTCTATATTCATAATTTTCCTGTATAATTTTAATGAATTTTTGGATATATATATATATTACATAATACCATATAAGGAATACACGTTAATTATTCCCCAATTCAAAAAATGTACACGTTAATAATACTTCCATAATTAATTAGTCTATATTATCATAATAATATTTCCATAATTAATCAATCTATATTCATAATATTCTGTGTAATATTAATTAATTTTTTGTTATATATACATTACGTAATACCATATAAGGAATACACGTTAATTTAAAAAAGGTAAACGTTAATACCTAATTCATTAATTAGTCTATATTTGTAATATTTCGTCTAATGTTAATTAATTTTTGGTTATATATTACATAATATCATATAGAGAATACACGTTAATTATTCCTAATTAAAAAAATGCAAAGATTAATAATATTTTCATAATTAATTAGTCTATATTAGCATAATAATTACAAATTTCCATTAATAATATTTTCAGAATTAATTAGTCTATATTTTGTAGATTTACTTCCGTTTTAGTAATAATTATAAATTTCCATTGAAATCGGTAGGTACTAAGTAAAATATATTGCTTATTATTATTTTTTTGAAAATATTGCTTATTATTTATTTCCTTATTTATTATACATTTACAAAATTTTTAGGATTAACAGGGTGTATAAATTAATGCTTCATCTTCAATATGATTCTCTTACGGTTGGATACAAATATACACACAAACTACTGAAGAAACAATGGCGATTATGAATATCAAATATTTGATTGTCTTATATCTGACAATTTTTACTTTGTTTAGCACTCATGAATGTAAGTGTATAGTATATAGAGTTTATTATTGAAATAGTCCCTCGACTATTATATATCTTGTGCTTGTTGTCATCTTCTCTCTTCCTTTAAAATCTAAATTGTTGTCTTAAACATATAACTTTTGTTGTTGTTGTTGTTGTTTTTATTGTTATAGGTCGGATATCAACAAATAAGAAAATAACGATTGATTATTGTAAACAAACTTGCCATGATCCTAATAAAGCATGTTGGTGTTGTTTTACTGGGGCATGCTATCGTACAAAAGCTGATTGCGAAGCAATATGCACGAGACGACTTCCTATCTCAAATAATCAAATTATAAATTAAGAGATCACATTGTTGTCAAAAGCGATTGGAATATAGCATGCTTTTAGTGAGTTTTTATTAAAAAGTTGAATAATCTAAATTATCATTTGATTGGGGGCTATGTACCCTACTATTATATTTGATACAAATTAATATGTTTCTTTTCCTACTTTTGTTATTCGACTACAAGTGTTTTAGCTATGTGATACACGAAATAAATTATGGTATCATTAATTTAAATAAAAACTAAGAAAATGAAAAGATACTAAAATTTAGAATATAGTTAGACTTTCAATCCCATATATTTGGTACGTACGTATTTTCATTGCATAAAAAATTTAAATTAAATTTTTTATAATTAATATAGTTGAATAAGAGTCAAATAGGTCATTCAACTACACACCGAACTGAAAAAACAATGCAATTGGATCCCTGAACAACACAAACTCATGCAATTAGATCCAAAATAACATGTTTACCTAAAAACATGCTGATGTGGCGTTTACCAATTTTAAAAATAACATTTTAATCATGGTCAAATGTACGTAGCAGTCTCAAGAGTAAGTAAATTAAGGGCATTAAAAATTTTTATATGTGGGAATATTGTACCATCTGTAAGTACGACTAAAAATCTCGTAAATAAAGAAGTTTTTAATAATGGG